CTAAGATCTCAGATCCTTAAGAATTGGAGGTTAGGGTCACTTCACCTGACAAAGGACCATAAACAATGGAGTGTTTGCTGAAAGCAAATGAAATACCAAATAGGCGGTGGAAGAAAAAAGTTCTAAATACCAGTTATCATCTTGTGACTAATTGCAGAAATGAGTATTGTAACTATTATAAGCATTTCTTCCTTATAAGTGTAAATTAAATATTTATGGTTTACATTTAATAAACTATAAGCTATAAATGGTGCTGATACATTTGAATTTAGTTATGTTAAAGGCAAACATTGTTTTATAATTGTATTAAAGATCATGGTTTTAAGAAATGTGTACAAGTGCAATGTGTTTATTTCACAAGGGGTGGACTGTGATGGTTAAGATTTTGTGTTGATTAACTCAGCTGTTTATGATTCTCTGTTTTGACGGTGTGATAGCATTCTCTTGCTGAAATTCGATATAGTGTAATCTTGGAGCACATTATGCTCAGAAGGGTAGAGGGACAGTGCAGGAGAGGAAGACCCTGGATGAAATGGACTGAGATAGTAACTGGGACAATGGGGCCAGGTGTGTTGTAATCGGTGAGACTGTCTGAGGACAGGGCAGGCTTCAGAGGTCAACAGCATATAACAACAACAACAACAACAATAATCATCATCATCATTCTCATAATGGGATTTGCCGTGAGAAGTTGACAACGAGTTTCATAAGGAGTATGGCCTATATTTAATATATAAAGAAGTCAGGCAGAGTTGACTTGCTTATTTGCGCTTTTCTTTCCTTTTTTTTTTGAGAGGGACATATATTTTACTGCAAATACCTTTTTTAAATTGAGATTTTAGTGAAAGTTAATAAAGAACTTGGATTTCCATTCATTCATTGTTGTACATGTTCCTCCCTGCCCCTCCTCCCCCCCAGTTCACCCATGTCAATCCTGTCTTATAACAGTGGTATTATATAGTATTTGTCTTTTTGTGACTAAGATATTTCACTCAGCATAATGTCCTCCAGGGTCACCCATTTTGTATACTATTTTATGAGTTCTTTGTTTTTCAGTGCTGCATAATATTTCATTGTGTGAATATACCACAGCTTCTCTATCCATTCTTTTTTTGATGGGCTCTTGAGTTGTTTCCAACTCTTTGCTATTGTGAACAAAGCAGCAATAAACATGGATGTACATATATCTCCTTGGGTGGCAGTTATGTTTTCTTTAGGGTATATTCCCTGTAGTGTAATTGCTGGGTCAAATGGTATTTCTATTTCCAGCTTTTTGAGAAAGCACCATACTGCCTTCCACAGTGGTTGCACCATTTTTACCCTTTTGGAGAAGTTTTTGGATGTGTGTGTGTAGGACTTTTTGCTTTATTCTTAAACTTGCATCTGGCTCATCATTTCTTTAATTTCTGTCTTACCTTGGATTCAGTAGCATCAACAGCTACATTCCCTGCTTTGAGCTAAGCTCCATCTGATAGCAGCAATAATATCTCTCATTTAGTGGGTTCTTCATAATCCAGCGTGAATTTCTGTCAATTTCCTGTTGTTGTACTGCTTTAGTTGTTTTTGCATAATGCTTTCAGCAAGATTTTACTTATGTGTGATCTTAATAATGTCAAATGAAGCAAAAGTGGCATCCACTTCCTAAACTACATGCCTCCGGAAACTCTATGAATTTTGATAAATGTCGGTAGTTGTAGAGGAGCTTCAGGCCTTTTGTTCATAGGGTTGCTATGAGTCATGCTCGACTCTAAGGCAATCAACAATAACAACAACAAATAATTTACAAACTCTAGAGGAAGACCCTCAATGAAACGGATTGACTCCAGCAAAGTGGTCAACTGTGTCAGAGAGAATGAGAATGGCACAGGATAGGACAGGGTTCAGATCTGTTGTTCATAGAGTCACTATGAGTTGTATGTGACTCATCCACATCTAACAACAACTACATTGGATCACTTTTTTTTTTAATGAGAAAAAATACAAATCACTTCTAGTTGGTTGGCTATGTAGCTGTCTTCCACATTTCTTAACATAGTCAGCACATCCAGGTGCTAACAGCACATCAGTTTTCTGAAACACCGCAATTGGTATTACATCAATTCCTGGAGCCTTGTTTTTTCTAGTGCCTCAATGCAGCTTAGGCTTCTTCCTTCATTATTTTTTGATTCTTGATCATATGCTACTTCTTGAAATGGCTCAATGCCAACCAAGTATTTTTGTACGCTGTTTGACATAATGACTGCTAGAAGCTGTACCACAGGTATTTCAGTTACTAGCAGAGTAACTCATGGTAGATAGGTTTCACTGGAACTTCTGGACTGAAATCAACTCAGAGGCAGAACTGACCATCCACAGAGCTTTCAAAAAGCCTATGAATGAGTATGGTGGACAGCTTATGCTTAAAAGAATCAGTTTAAACAGGTTCTGCTTGGCAAGCAACTTAACAGGGACTAAAAGTTCTTTGCAATAGAGTGTGGGCATGCTTTAATAGAGGGAAATACAGAGGAAAATATCTGCCTTGTTGTTTTTTAACCTAATACTAGGCACTTCTGAAATCTAATTTCCAACTCTTGGCTGCCCTGTTTCAAAAGAGCCTTGAGGCAGATTGAAATAAACCAATGGATCTCAAACTATTATTAAGCAGATTGTAAAATGAGCAGTTTTTGAGAATGTTCTCAAAAGATTGGCTGCTCTTGATTGTGCAAAATGGTCTTTTTCACTTCTTTTACCTTCTGTTCTGTTTTGGCTTACCTTGCTTTTTGCATACATGCATACCAACTGCTGTAGTTTGAGAGTTGAGTGATGTAGTCTATAGAGAATTGTGTTCTAACCCAAGGATTGCCCCTCTCTCAGTGTTCAAATTCATGAGGAGCTCCATGGGAGAAAGATAGGCAATATCTTTCATTGAGACTTACAGCCTCCAAAACTCAATGGTGGGTCAGATATAACTTGATGGCAATGAATGAGTTCTCTTTGAAGTGTGACAAAACAATCAGAATTATTTAGGTTGATAAAAACAGATCAAGAGAAGCTCCATTTTGTTTCTCTTGGAGCCTTCAATCCTCCTGTTGGGGACTGGACTTACTTGCCTTCTTGACTTGCCACTCTTCTATGGTCCTAAAACAACCTTCCATTTATCAAGGCTCACCTTCCCAGGAATCCTCTTTCTTACCTAAGCCTTTATGTTCATCTTCCTCTGTGGGAAATTTTTTGAGACCTTATATGTAGTTCTTGGTGGTACAAGTTGTTAATATACTTAATATACTTAATATACTGAATAGGTGCCCCACTGGAAAGGCTTGCTCTGTTTCTGAAAAATCTGCCATTGAAAACCCTGTGGAGCACATTTCTACTCTCATGAGCCTGGATCAACTTGATGGTAAAAAGTCTGTTAATATATGAAATGCCAATTTTCTCTTTTCATACTTGATGGATTGATAGGATGAGCTAGATTGAAAATACTTTCCCCCCAAATTTATTCAAATCTTTATCCACTCTATCACTTGTTTTTTTCTTCCCATTATCCTCACCCTCAGAAGTTGGAAGAATCTTTTTTGTATCTCTAGTGTTCAGAAATTTCTGTGCTGTGACTTAATATGGGTTTTATTTCTTCAATTTTTCCTGAGTGCTCAGTTGGCCCTCCTTATCTAAAAATCAGATTCTTCAGTTTGGAGAAAAATATGTGCAAAATATCTTAACTAACTTTCTTAACTCAATTTCTCTGTTCTGTCTTTCTGAGATTTCTTTTTGTCAGAAGTTAGACTTCCTGAATTAACTCTCTGATTTTCTGTCTTCTTTTGTTGATATTTATTTGTTACACTTTTTAAAGCATTTCCTCAATTTATCTTCTAATCTCTTTCCTGAGATTTCATTTCTGCCAAACTTTATTTTAAATTTTCTAGTGCTCTCTTCGGTTCTTTATGTTCCTTTCTTATAAATAGCATTTTGTACTTACCTGGCAGAGGAAACACCATGATCAGGCAGGTGGTTTTCCCAGGATGAGGCTCACCCATTGCACTTGGGGTGTGCTGACCCCTGCGATTTCCCCAAATGCGGGAAACTCGACTGCATAATTTGTGGTAGTGGGGGACTGCGTGCGCACTATCCCCTGAAAAAAAAATAAAAAAAATTAAATAGCATTTTGTTCTTGTTTTTTGGTTGTAATAGCTTCTCTTGTTTTTTCAGCATATTAATTATATTGATTATAGTTTTATTTTTGAAGCTTCCTTTTGCTCCCTGCCTAGTCTGTTTGCACCTAATATTTTCTCCCTTTTATTTGCTATGGTCCTTTGACTTTCATTTTGGAAGTTTAGAAAAATTTCTTTTGATACTCTGTTATCAATTAATTTTTGTATATTTTTAAGATAAGTAAAGCTGACTGCAAGTTACAATGTAGCAAGTTTGTTGGCAGGTATGCTTAGCTATAAAGTGAGTAGAGACTTGACTTTTTTTTAAGAGGCCTGCATTTTAGTGCCTTTAGACTTTTTATTTGGAGTCCACTTCATTTCTTCAAAAGCAGATTCTTGTCATCTCTTGTTTGTTGGGAATGAGTTTGATTGCCATTTTGAGGGAGACCTGTGGGGAAAGAAGCAGATGATTAGAGGTCGTCCCTGAGTGGTGCAAATACATATTAACGGAAAGGTCTAAGGTTTGAATTCCCCAGAAATTACTTGGAAGAAAGGCCTACTAATCTACTTAGAAAATCCTATGAAGCACAGTTGTATTCTGACACTGAGTTTCCATGACTGAGAGTTCACTCAGTGTTAACTGGCTAAATGGTACCAAGACACAAATTCAAGTAGGGTGACTGCAGGGCCCATGTGCTGGGCTGCTGTGTCTATTATCTTCTTTATGAACTTGGGCTTCACAGTCTTTTACATAAAGTATTTTTAAAAATTATTAAGTATAATAAATAATCCATCTCAGTTCATTTATAGCAAAAACACTGTATATTGAACTATTTTCATATTAGCAATTTATAACTTATTCTTAATTTGCAGCTTTTTTCAAGGAAGAAACCTCCTAAGGGCCTGTACATTTATGGAGATGTTGGTAAGTCTGTTAAAAGAAATTTTGAGTGGTCCAAACAAATGATAACTGACATTACAACCTATACTTCTCAGTTTACCGAGGCGGTTAGATGCGGCAGGGTAAAGTTGGGAGTGTGGGAGAGAAAAAAGGAAGATCTATCCCAAGCCTCACTTTTAAATCTCCTCAAGTGTATATTAAAGCGCTCTGGTAGCCAAGTGGGAAGGAATTGTGCTGCCAACCCAAAGGTATTAGAATCCATGGGAGAAAGATAGGCAGTCTCCACCTGTGTGATTTACAGTCTCTGAAAACCTGCTAGAGGGTCAGCTATGGGTCATTTCTGACTCCATGACACATAACAATACAAATTGTGTGTCAGGGCTGTGTCCTTTCTCCATACCTGTTCACTCTATGTTGAGCAAATGATTTGAGAAGCTAGACTTTATGAAGAAGAATGGCTTTGGAGGAAGACTCATCAACCACTTGCATTATGCAGATGACAAAACCTTGCTTGCTGCAAGTGGAGGATTTGAAACCTTTGCTGCGGAAGATCAGTGTCTATATAGCCTATGTACCATTTGACAATCCAACCAACAAAGTATAAGAATCCTATCTTGCCACATTCTCTCCAATATTTATTATTGCTGCCCTGTTAAACTTTGCCACTGTTACTGGAGTGAGATGGTACCTCATTGTGGTTTTGAATTGCATCTCTCTTATTGCCAGTAATTTTGAGCATTTCTTAATGTGTCTGTTTGCCATTCAAATATCTTCCTCTGTGAAGATTCTTTCCATGTTTTTGCCCATTTTGTAATTGTGTTATCAGTCTTTTTCTTGTGGTGGCCCAAGAGTATTCTGTAAATTTTCATTATGAGACTCTTGTCTGAGATGGTATTACCAAATGTTTGTTCCCAGTCAGTAAGTTTTCTTTTCACCCTATTGGAAAAAGTTTTTGATGTGCACAGGAATTTAATCTTTAGAAGGTCTCATTCATCAATGTTTTCTTCTTCAGATTGTACATTTCTGTCTGTATTTGGCAGTCTTTTTGTACCATGAACTTGGACTTCTAAGCTTGATCCCTGTTTCTTATGAACTTTATGATATTGGGCTTTACTGCTAAGTCTCTGATCCACCTTGAGGTGATTTTTGTGTATGGTGTGAGATGTGGATCCTGTTTCAGCTTTCTGCAGGTAGCAGTCCAGTCTTGCCAGCACCATTTATTGAAGAGTTTGTCATTTCCTCTTTTGATAACTTTGATTTTCTTGTCGAATATCAGTTGACCATAGCTAGATCTATTTCTGGGTTCTCAATTTTGTTCCATTGGTCTATGTGCCTATCATTGTACCAATACCATGCTGCTTTGCTTATTACTGATGTGTAGTAGGTTTTGATGTCAGGGAGTGCTATGCCTTCAACCTCATTTTTGTTTCTCAGAAGTGTTTTGCTTATTCTGGGTCTTCTGCATCCCCAAATAAATTTGACAATTTCCCTTTCAATCTCCTGGAAAAATGAATTTGGTATCTTGATTGGAATTGTGTTGAACATGTAGATTGCTTTTGGTAGGATTGTAATTTTCATGATATTGATGAACAGGGCACATTTTCCCATTTCTTTTGGTCTTTTATTTTGTCTTGCAGAAATGCTCTGTAGTTTTCTTTGTACAGGTCTTTTGTATCTCTAGTTAGATTCACTCCTGAGTATCTAAATTTTGTGTTGGCTATTGTAAATGGTATTGCTTTCTTGATTTCCTTCTCTGAGTTGTCTTTGTTACTGTAGAAGAATCCTACTGATTTTTGGATATTGATCTTATATCCTGCCACTCTACTAAACTGACCTACAAACTCTAACAGGGTTTTTTTTGTTGAGTCTTTGGGGTTTTCTGTGTATACTATCATATAATTTGCATATAGTGACAGTTTAAACATGCCTTTGCCAATCTGGATGCCCTTTATATCTTTCTCTTGTCAACCTTATATTTTTTATTTTTATTATTATTTTTTTTTAATGGAGAAGGGACAGTTTATTATCACCTCGACGCAGAACAGGAACTTAATGGACAATGTGAATACAGAGGTCTACTGACTCACAACTCTTTCTTTTCATCTTTTAAGATATATGACATAGCAACTGATATATCAAAGTAAAGCAAGTGTTGCTTAGTTATTCTTTTTTAGTTCCTTTAAATGAGACTCATTATTTCTGATTCCATAAAGTGAATCATGCCATGATTCAAAAGATCTGTCCTTTATATAAACCTATGAGCACACATTTTAAAAAATGAGTTCTTCAGGAACTAGGCAAGGATGCCCACTATCACCTCTTTTATTCAATATTGTTTTGGAAGTCTTAGCAATAGCAATAAGA